TGGGCACTCACATCCTGCTCAATACTGAGGACTTCATCTCCAGTTATTGTTAACAAAGTCCTGTTGAATTAAATAAATACAGAAAAGAAAGCTCTGTGTAAGACCATTTAAAACATTCCCAAATATTTGACAAGGGGATGGGAAGAGGAAAGGGAGGAAACAGTTACTTAAGCCCTTGGAGAACCATTCACAGAATCACAGCAAGTTTGTGTGGGAAGGGACCTTAAAGATCATCCAGTTCCACCCCCCTGCCACGGGCAGGGACACCTTCCACTAGCCCAGTTTGCTCCAAGCCCTGTCCAACCTGGCCTGGAACTCTTCCAGGCGTGAGGAATTCCCAACCTCTCTGGGCAGCCTGTGCCAGGGCCCCAGCAGTCTCACAGGGAAGAATTTCTTCCCAATTTCCAATCTAAATCCGCTTCTTTAACCATCTAATAAATCAGTGCAATCCAGTAAAGAGCCAGGAAGATTCCACAGGGGAAAACGTGGGATATTTTCCTGGGAGACCCATGGATTGAGCCTGTGGGCTCACAGGCATGAGGAAGAAAAAAAGTTTTGCTCAGGGAGTAACAACCTCACATCCCCTCAAGAGACAAACAGTCCTGCCCAATTTTTCATGCCCAGCATCTCTGGATGCTCATCTTCAGGACTCCCCTCCAGTGCCACTGGAATGGGAATATGGCAGGGAAGGCACAAACCAAGAAGAAATCTTTCCTCTGAACGCACCTTTCCCTTCAGCTGAGTCCTGGAACACCCCACATGCCCCAAGGAGTTGAAAGAGAAGATTCAGGGATAGAATCTTCATGAGAAATCAACAGTCCCACAAATAGGGGGGGGAAAATAAAGGACAGGACCCAGGAGATCCAGGGTCAGCAAAATAAAAAGGCTCTGGAAGGAAAAGCAAAGCCAACAAATATACACATATATACATATATATTTTTAATAGTGACCTTGCATTAGTTGTTTCTCATTTTGCACTTTTAAAGTCTCTCCTTTGTTTTGTGGAGACGCAATTTAACTCAGAAAACCCTTTCAAACAGAGACATCCAGAGGATTTCACTGCTTGACAAGGATTTCAGAGCCTGCCCTCCCTTCAGGGACATCAGTCACACACCCACCCTCCATCCCTTGGCATTGCCTCCCAGCATTCCTGCCTGGCTTTTGGGCACCTACCTGGGGAATTTGGAACTCTCAGGACATAAGAGTTGGTGTTCCAGAGCTTTCTGGATCTGCCAGGCAGTTAAAGAGAATTAACGTATCCCGTGCTGAAGAGAAATGAAACTACTGGTCTGGAAAGTTGAAAGAGCTAAATAGGGAAAAGGGAAGGAAAAGGGCAGAATCTCTTCCAGGGAGCTACTGAAGTTAAAGCCCCACAGCAAGATAAGGACTTTTCAAGGCAAAGAAAAGCTGGTCCAAGGGTGGATTGTAGGGAATCAGCCAAGAAATCAAACTCAGGGAAGGGCCCAAGGTGATGGTGGTTCAGGTCAAACCAAGAACTCCAGATGATGCAAACAAGGAACAAGACACCTGCAGGAGAAACAATTCCCTCTTCTTAAATAAAAAAAAAAAAAAAATTAAAATTAAGACTGAGATTGTAATTTGGAGTTTCTAAACCCTGCAATAGTTTATAACACACCGAAATTTCTCCCTCAGTCGGTCTTTGTCCCAACTGAGAGCCCTGATTTCCAAATCTGGCAAAGTTGGCAAATCTGGTGAACCACACACAAGTTGCTTCTTTGCTTCTCACCAGGCTGGTCCCAGCTAATTTAATACCTAAAATACTTCAGTTTGATTTTTTTTTCCCCTGTTTGGTGTTTTTTTTTTTCCCTTAGGAGTGGCCATTACTTTCTGTTCTCTACAGTATCTTGAGTGGCAGAGGAGGGAGGTGAGGTTTGTGGGAGCACCCACTTGATTCCCCAAGGAAAGTGTCCATTCCCTCCTCCTGCTGGGGAGGAACTGAGAGCGTTATTTCACTTTCCCAGAGCACTCCACACATCCTCAATCCTCGCTCCTAGAACAGAGCTGAAGGAAAGGAGAACAGGAGTGTTGCTCAGCAGGGTTCCGAGCGCTCCTCGCCCGGGTTTGTTCCCTCCTCTCTCCCTTCAGAGCTCCCACAATTCCGAATTAAGCTTCCCACTCCCAAGATTAACGCAGCAGTGTTGATCCCTGCAGCTCTCCTGGGGCTGGATACGCTGTGGAGGTGGCAGAGGGAGGAGCTGTCTGCAGCTGAAACACCGTTCGCAGGCGTTTTACGTAACTACAGAAAACAGTTACACCAAAATTAAAAAAAAAAAAAAAAAAGGGATTTTAAACTTCATTTGTCAATTCCAGCCCACATTTTGTGGTTTTTTGTTTTTGTTTTTTTTTTGCTACACAATAAACCCCTTTTATTTCATGTTAATTTATTTTATATTAAATCACTGCTGGCCGAGCCTGGGATGAGTGAAA